AAGAGTACTGTGTACGCGACACGTGCCATGTGAAGATATGCAATGTAGATGTGCAATAGATATTTTTATATATCCCTTGAATATTGAAATGTTCTTTCCTGCAACATCTAAATCTAGAATCTGGATCTTTGTTAATGTTCCCTTTGTTATTCACCATTGTTCCAAAATACGTTTAACATAAAACAAATTTTTACACAGTTAACAATAAAGCATTATTTTTTTATATAAGAAATAAATACAAATATCCGTAGGAAAAATATTTTGTCTTCTACGTAAAAATATCTATTTAGATATTACGCAAATAATATATTGTGACAAAAGGAAAATCTCGAAATAATCTTTCTTTCTTTATTAAAATTAAAAATTCAGCATTGTTTGGCTTAGCGACTGGACTGGTTCGCACTGGACTCGTGCGAACTGCAATGCAGTAAATTTTAGACGAGTTTAAGGCGCGTGGGTCGACCTCCGCGACACGTGCGCGACCATTAATCCCTCGCAATCGCACGACGGAAAAGCGTCCGGTCCAATAATGCCCTTACTTCACAAGTCCTGATAATTTCACCAGGCGAGACTCCGCGGTGTTGCGCCGCAGTGCAATTACATGCATGCACGCGTAAATCGCGACATGTCACGAGGTCGCGCGAGTGTATTGAATTGATGCTTATGCAGTAGTATGTATCGAGAATAGGGCAAACACCCTGAATCTAGAGCAATAACTTTAGAGAAACGCTAAATTTTCTTCTAAAGAATTAGGCAAAACAAATAATAATTATTATTATTAATAAATCAAGCAAGCAATAATTACTTGCAGGTAACAAAATACCGACATAAATAATTTTTTAAATCTTTAATTTTAAAAAATTTTTCTTAATTTTTAAAATTTAGCTCTTGATTGCAATGTATTGTTTTATTATATAAAAAATATAAAACTTTTTACAGATGTATTATAATTACGTATATGTCATAAATTTTTTTGTATTTTTTTGTACTTTTAGTCATTCTGTTTAGAATGGGGAAATTTCAGTTCATGTGAATCCATTAATATAAAATATACAAATAACTATAATTTAATGTCGAATTATTGTCGTTAATTTTATTGTTTAAAATCAATGTTAGCAAAATTACATAATTTTAACTGCAATTTAATTAACTAATTGTGTAACGCAATAGTAAACTAAATTTAAAAAATAATTTTTTATTAAATAACTTTATTTTAAAAACATTATGTAATGTTTTCGCTTTTAAGATTGAAGAATAATAAAATCATAGCAAAATATATAGGACAAAAACATCGAATTAAGTGCGAAATAAATTATTTTCATTTGAAAAAAAAATACGATTATCGAATTTAAATAAAAATAAAATTTATGACAAAACTATTTGCATCGCTTATTTTTCTCACGGCCTATAAACGTCCATAGATATTCGAGGCACGTTCTTCTAATAATACCCGACGAATTTATTAATGCAGCAAAACGAACAGCTTGCACAGAGAATGTTCCCATTATGAATCTTTGAGAACGATGTAGTACCAACTGAAATTATTTGTACATAAAACCGCGATAAAATGCATAAGCACTTCTTATATATATATATATATATATATATATATATATATATATAGACAGAGAGAGAGCAAATAAAGAATACAAAAATTAATTGTACATGGCGGCCCTCTGATTTCATTGGTGTAAAGACAGGAATACGCGAAAAATAACAGAATAAAACAAGCTTGCTTTTGTATGTTTGTAAATGAAATAATGCGAAGCGTGTACGGAGTATCTTGTCAAATTTTTAATTCATATTTAAAATTTAAACTAAATTAACTAAATTAGCATTGATAAATTTAAAAAAAATTAAAAGTAGGAAGTATCTTAGTTATTGTAAAATAAAATTTTTAAAAAAAGTAATTTTTAATTAATTTTAGTTGTATATATATATATATATAATATACGTATAATTTTACACAATTTGACACCATTTCACATAATTTGTCGATCGTGATATGAGCATTATCTGCGGTAGTACACAATATATTGTTTATCGATGGAAATAAATTTATGGCATGTAAATGCAAATGCAGAAAGTGCGATCGATGTACATAATATAAGCAAAATAGAATGCCCGCGTTGTTTCGAGGTGCATTGCTTAATAGTTGCGCCAATGCTCGTTATGCAATGAGCACAAAAGGAAATCAAAAAAGTTTGCAATCTAATCTAAAATTAAAAAATCTTATTATATTACGATATTTAATAAAATATTAAATTTTTCAAGATTCACAGTTGATACATAGCAATTGTAACAATTTATTTATTTTATGTTATCTATTTTACTCAATTTTATATTATTAGATTTGTTTCATTAATAATTTTTTATAATAAAAATATAAGAGAATTTGGGAAATAGCAAAACCGCGTTTGCCTGTTATCGAAAAAAGAAAATCATAAAAAACGGATTGACGACTTAATCAAGCTGATCCGTGTAATAAGCATTGAAAATTTATGTAAAATTTTACGCCACACCTTTAAACGCATTCGATTTAGACGACAACCGTAAAGGTGTTCCTACGGTTAAATTTATTCACTGTATTGACGCGCCCGCTGGTTTATGCGAAATTTAATAGACATTTACGAGGATTTGGTTAACGTACCAGGACTGCGAGCGAGCGATAGTAAATCCCACTAAAATAAATGCACAACCTTTGCCTTTGATAGTCACTCTCATAACATCTAATTACACTTCGCACGAAACACCCCTCGTCGTTACAAATAAGGTAGTTTAGATGGTCTGTTTAATTTTCATTACGTTCGTTAGGTGCTGCCTGAGATAATGCACAACTGCCTAATTCCCAGTTTATTTATCTATTTATTTTATACAAGGTAAACCTATTGTACATAAAGCAGGAAAAAGTCACAGAGGAGAATTATTTTTCTCTTTTAAATTTAACTTCTAATTAATTATATATACTAGGTACCCATTTTTGTTATGTAATATTAAAAATACAAGTTTATAAAATATATCTAGCAAAAAATCTGTCACGCATTCAGTCAAATATATTTAGTTACAAAATATAAATTTACCCGTAAAACAATAAATTAAAGATAAAATAGAGGTATGACAAGCAGATAGGATTGCCGGAGATATGCAAATATTACAACAACAGCATATTCTATCGCTCCTTTATAGAACATTAAAAAAAATATTTTTGTGTCACACGTGTAAAATGTGTCGCAAAAATGTAAAACAGAAAAGTGGAAGCGTTCGACAAAAACCAAACGTATTTTTCAGACCGTAAAATCTCGAAAGAGATATGGAACTTCTATTTCAATCGCCGACATCTTTAAATTGCCTCGGAAGAAAGTCATGAAACTCCAAAAAAAAAAATAAAGTAGAAGCGAGAGAAACTAACGGTCTATTCCGGCTGTTGTATGTATTTTTCTTTACGGCCTTTTACGGTTTTAACTTCTCGCTCTCTTTGAATTTTCTGCCATGTTTCTGCTTAACTAAAAAAAAATGTACAAAGAGCAAGGACAGAAATAAGAGTGCAACTAAATTTAAATTTATATATCTGAGAAAATATCAATATATCTCAAACCTCTCTTTTTCTCTCTCTCTCTTTTCTTCTGTGAAATCGCTTATATTATTTTATAATTTAAACGTAAATAAGAAATATATAATATTATATATAGATTGGTGTAGGTTATGCTTTCTTCATCTTTTTAATCAATTTAAAGTTAATCTTTCTTCAAAACATGTTAAATATAACTTTCATTACTTATGCTTATATAAAAGGCGAAAAGAATACTAATAGACTTTTAAATCAGTAAAATTGATTTCAATTCATCATACACAAAAGACTTGTCATAAAAGTGTTTATTAATGTTGGTAGAATGACTTACAAGAGATGCCTGTCTCTCTCTTCTAAATCACAAAATAATTAAAGCTGTCCTACTTTCAAAGAATTGACGTACGCTTACAAGAAATTCAACACCTAAAGGTTCAGAGATTTATAAGAATGTGTATAATGAAAAATAATTTTAAAGAATATTATATTTTTATGCTTTCAATGTGTTTTATTCTTTCTCATTAGCAATCGTAAACGAGAATATATATTCCATGCAAACAAATTTCACTAAAGAATGAGAAAACCGAATACTGGAAGAATAGCGGAAAATATTTTAAGGATGATTTAAGAAAGAATTTTTCCTTCAATCTTTTTCGTTCAAGAAACTCCTGTACTTTGTGCTCAAAGTTTAAACAAAAGGAGAAGCGCAACAAAGGTGTTGTACGAAACTATAGAAATTGCCGGGGAATAAAGTGTTGTGTTCTAAAAAAGATGCAAAGCCGCGCGAGCGCATTATAATGATAATATCCGTCGTCAATTTTCGTATTCACCAGCAAGATTGGATTAACGAAATTTGACATATTTCACGAGAACAATAAAGTGACCTAAATTTTGCATGAAATATCCGTTTCATCAGAAGCTAACGATATAATATTTGCAACAAATATACTTTTCATTAAAAGATTTCATTGTAGACAATAATTAACTCGCACTTTCATTACAATCGTTTACGTTATTAAATACGTTTTCTATAAATTGACATTAAAATGGGAAAATGTTTTTAAATGTAATTATTATAGAGATTTCTATAATTTGTACATAAAGACAAATAAAATTTTCCAAATAATAAGATATCAACATACGATGTAATAACTAAATATCAAAATATCAAAATTAAATATTATTTTAAAAAATATAAAGAAACTAATTCCGAAAATAAAAAATAATAAAGACGTAAAAAATTACATTTATTTATATTTATATTTATAAAAAGTGCGCAGATCATAAATTCACCTATAATATGAAATAAAATATTCAAAACAAAGCACAGTCAGTGCAGAAAAACTATCGATTCGAAAAAATACTCGTGTATCCCTAAAAGCATATCCAACCGTCCCCCTAAAAGCAAGGCAGCCATACAGCCATAACTATAAGAAGCAAATTGCACACTAAGTAGTATATATGCACAGCCTCATCGACGAGCCTTCAAGGGATGCAAGAACCCCTAACAAGCGCAGCGAACAAGGGGTATTTTTTTTCGAGGGTGAAAGCAGACACCGAGGAAGCCAGTCCAGAAGTTGATTGCTCTTAAAGGCATTATCGAACACCGCAAGGGATGGGGTTTGCTGAAGGGAATCCCGACGTGTTCTTCACGTT